AAACCCCCTTCAGAAGCCTGATGGCTGGCAGTCTGTTTCATGTATGAGTATGTTTCTATTTTGTTCATTAGATTCCGCAAGTGAAATCCTATGGTATTTGACTTTCTCTGACTGGCTTGTTTCACTTAGCATCATAGTCTCTAGGACCATCCATGCTGCCCCCAAAAGTAAAATTTCCTACTAGTACTTCTTTACAGCCAAGTAGTATTCCATTGTGTATACCATAGCTTATCCGCTCATCTGATGGGCACTTGGGCTGCTTCCAAATCTTGGCTATTATAAATAACATTGCAAAGAATATAGGGGTGCATATATTTTTTCTAATTAGTGTTTCTGTTTTCTTATGTATATTCACAGAAGTGGTCATGAAACAGTTCCATTTTTAACTTTTTGAGGTAATTACTGCTTTCCAGTGTCTACATTAGTCCACACTCCCACTAACAGTACATGAGGGTTCTCTTTTCACATCTTTGCCAACACTGGTTGGTTGTTGATTTATTGATAGTCTAGCCATTGTGATAGGCGAGAAGTGATACTTTGTTTTATTTTTAAAATTTATTTTTTACAGAGAGGAAGGGGGAGAGAAACATTGTTGAGAAACATCTATCAGCTGCCTCCTGCACACCTTCTGGGGATGGACCTGCAACCAAGTACATGCCCTTGGCCCAAATCAAACCTGGGACCTTTCAGTCTGCAGGCCGACGCTCTATCCACTGAGCCAAACTGGTTAGGGCAATACCTCATTTTAATTTGCATCTCCCTGATTAGTGACATTGAGCAATCTTTCATGTCTCTTGGCTGTGTGTATGTACTTTTTGGAGAAATGTCTGCCCATTTTTTAATTGTATTGTCTTCCTTTGTTGAGTTGTATTATGTATTTTGGAAATCAATCTCGTCAGATGTATCATTGGCAAATATGGCCTCCCATTTAGTGGATTATCTATCTTGTTGATGGTTTCCTTTGCTGTGTAAAAATCTGTTTTACTAACGCAGTCCCATTTGTTTATTTTTTGTTTTCCTTGCCCAAGGAGATATATCAGAAAAAATATTGCTGAGAAATGTCTTAAGATTTTATTGCCTATGTTTGCTTCTAGGATTTTTGTTTTCAAGTCTTACACTTAAGTCTTTAATCCATTTTGAGTTTATTCTGGCATGTGATGTAAGAAGGCGGTCTAGTTTCCCTTTTTTGCACATCTCTGTTCAATTTTCCCAATACCATTTATTAAATAGACTGCTTTTACCTCATTGTTTGTTTTTGCCTCTTTTGTCAAATATTGACCATATAAGATTTGTTTCTAGGCTCTCTATTTCATTTATATGTTTTTATGCCAGTACCAAGCTGTTTTGATTACTATAACTTTGTAATATAGTTTGACATCAGATAGCATGATTCCTCTTTATTCTTTCTCAAGATTACTGTGGCTATTCAGGGTCTTTTGTGATTTCATGTAAATTTTGGAATATTTTGTCTCGTTCTGTTAACAATCTACAAACTCACTGCAATTCCTAACATGATACCAATGATGTATCATGTTAGGAATTGCAGTGAGTTTGTAGATTGTTAAAGGCAGTATGGACATTTTAATATTAATTCTTAGACTCCCTGTTAACTGGAAAGCATTAGAGTCATTTGAAATATACAGACAACTTCTAAACCCACAGCTGATTTTCCCCAAATTAAGAGAAATGCTATGATTATAGCTACCTGATGTCAGATTAGAATCGTTGAATAAAAAAAGCAAATATGATCTTTCTAAAGATTTGAGGAAGTTGCTAAAAATAACCCCACCTCAAAAGAAAAATGGTCATGTTTTTTACCATTTGATTTCAGATAGAGATGTTTCTATCTTTCTTAAATGTAAAATCCAAGGCTTTCTCTAGATTCTCTCTGAAATCAATATATATATATATATATATATATATATATATATATATATATATATATATATATATTTTTTTTTTTTTTTTTTTTTTTTTTTTTTTTTTTTTTAAAGACCCAAGGCTTTGATGCTGACCAGAACCTAACTGACCTGAGGGCTTAGTGATTATGGGAGTGGGTGTGCAGGAAGGAGAGAGGCAGGAGTGGATGTTCTTACATAAACAGCTGAATACAGGAAGGGCCAGATGAAGAGATGCGCAGGGCAAGGAATGGGCAAAGGGTGTGGTGCTTCCATGCCCTCAGCCGGAGCTCCACTCCCAGCATCTCCACCTGTTCACCAACCAGGAAGCCCTCCGAATAGATTGAAACTTTCTGCGTCAGTGTCATTTAAGAGTGTATTTGGCACCCATTTGGTCATCATTTTAAATGTTATTTCCAGCCAGAAAGGCATCCATTGCTTTATTACACTGCTTTATGATTAGAACCCTTGTTTGTATTTTCTTCTAGACACTGGTTAACAAAATTATACAGGTTTCAGGTGCACAATCTATAGCACATCATCTGTACACTATATATGTTCACCACCCAAGTCAAGCCTGTCCATCACCATTTGTCCCCCCCATACCCTCCTTAGAGAACTGCTTTTTATTTGTAGTGAAATATGTTTCCTAAGATGCTAGTGAATTAAAATGTAAATATGGCTGAAACCGGTTTGGCTCAGTGTATAGAGCGTCGACTTGTGGACTGAAGGGTCCCGGGTTTGATTCCGGTCAAGGGTATGTACCTTGGTTGCAGGCACATCTCCAGTATGGGTGTGCTAGAGGCAGTTGATGGATGATTCTATCGATGTTTCTAACTCTCTATCCCTCTCTCTTCTTCTGTATAAAAAAACAATAAAATATATTTTTAAAAATGTAAATATGGTGATGTTTTGTATAATTATAACCAGGACAGAGAACACTAGTACAGAGATGACTGATTTCACAAGTAATCCTGGGAAACAATCTTACTGACGCAACATCACTTGGTTTATAAAGATACCCATTGATTCAGCTACTAAGGAGGGAAAGGGAAACTAGGAGACAATTTGGCTACCCACTTCAGCCTGCCCTATTCAGCAGACATTAAAATTGCTAGATCCTGAGATACTTGAGAATTTCTAGCTCTAAGTCATTTGCCTTTGTTACTTTTCTTTGTAAAGCTGTACAATTACATGAATAACTACTTCAGTTTCCAGAGGTTTCACATGGAGGTCTATGAATACTATTGAATCACAAACCACATGGCTGTGTGAAGGTGTGTTAGGCTGTTGTAATTTTAGAACTAACTTCATAAAACGACCCATTGTGATTAGGAATTAGTACATGTTCAGACCCTGTGGAGCATGAGGGCATGTTCCTGGAGCATACTCCTCAGGATCTTATCAGAATTCAAGTCCAGGAACACAGTGTTAATCTTGTCTAGGGGCAGAGAGAGAGCTTCTTCTGTTGAATTCTAGTGTTTCATCTTAAACCTTCTATCAAGACAACTCTACAAGGAGGGTCCCTGTAATGACTATTTTCTCTAATAGTTAATTGTTAACATTGACTGAAAATTATGTAGCAGTGTGATCTTTACTAGTTTGATTTTTTTTAAATTAAATAAATTAGACATGTAACATTGTGTGTTACTTTGGTACATTTATATATTGTAACATTGTAGCAATATTTATCACATTACATAATTATAACACAATATTATTGTCTAGATCAGCAATTTTTAACCTTTTTTAATCTAATAAATAAAATTCTGTGGCACACCAAAAAATATATCATACTTTTTGCCAATCTGACAAATAAGTATATCCAGCCAGTGTGGCTCAGAGGTTGAGTGTCGACCTATGAACCAGGAAGTCCTGGTTCACTTCCCAGTCAGGCCACATGCCCAGACTGCAAACTTGGTCCCCACTAGGGGTGTGCAGGAGGCGGCTGATCAATGATTCTCTTAATTGATGTTTCTATCTCTCCCTATTCCTTCCGCTCAAAAAAAAAAAAAAAAAAATTATATATTTAAAATCTAAGGGAGCCGAGACCGGTTTGGCTCAATGGATAGAGCGTCGGCTTGGGGACTGGAGGGCCCGGGTTCGATTCCGGTCAAGGGCATGTACCTTGGTTGCGGGCATATCCCCAGTAGGGGGTGTGCAAGAGGCAGCTGGTCGATGACTCTCTCTCATCGATGTTTCTAACTCTCTATCTCTCTCTCTTCCTCTCTGTACAAAATCAAATAAAATATTTAAAAAAAAAAAAAAAAAATCTAAGGGAAAAGAGGTCTGTGCCCCTGACAGGTATTGCATGTTTTAAAAAATTCTTATGTCATACAAATTGAAAACCACTGGTTTAGATTCATATACTGTGTGTTTTAAATTGCTATGGCTTATTTACTACTTGTCACAAGTTAGTACCCTTAAATACATCACTCTTATCCCCACTCCCTTCTAACCACCATTTCACTCTCCATTAGGTGTGTGTGTGTTTTAATAGGTATGACTTTTTTAGATTCCATACATAAGTTATTTCATAACAATACTTGTTTTTCTGTTTGACTCATGACATTTAGCATAATGTGCTCGAGGTCCATCACTGTTGCTGCAAATGGCAGGATATTCTGCTTTCTCATGGCTGAATATATAGGTACAACATCTTTCTTATCCATTCATCTGTTAATGGGGATTTGGGGTTCTTTTTGTACCTTGGCTAATAATGCAATACACATGGGAGTGTGTGTGTGTGTGTGTGTGTGTGTGTGTGTGTGTATGTGTGTGTGTGTGTGTGTGTGTGTGTGTGTATATATGTATATATGAATTATAAGAGCAGGAGTCATTGCAAATACTGTATCTCATGTGATATCCACAGCTAAATGGCTATCAAACCACATTTAAGAACTCTTTGGCAGTTTTCAAGAAACACTGGTCAAACCATAAATAAATCTCAATGCATCTGTTAATACCTTCTGTGCACCTCCTCCTGTAGTTAGCATTGTATTAGGTGCTTAAGTGCAAGTCGTTTGACTCAATAAATTTAAAAAATATATATTTAAGACTTATTATTCACAGAATTCTTGGCAGAGTTGTATGTTGAGGTTTCTACTCCTGAGAAGTTTGAGGTTTGTGTTGTCTCTCTTTCAGTCCCAAGAGCTCCGTTTTGAGTTCTCCAGGCTTTGGTGGGATTTCAGGTATTGTCTATTAAAAAAACAAACAACAACACACAAAAAAACACATGTGCCAATGCTTTCTTAGACTGTAATTAAATGTGACCTGAAAGACTTCAAAGCAGGTCAAGAGGAAAAGGAAGTCCCTTGCTACTCAACGCTAAACCAGTATCGTGAGAACCCACAGCTGATCTAAGTCCCTTTCCAACCCCAATGACTCTATTATCCAGGCTGGGTTTTAAGTTCTAGAGGGGGAGAGTTTGCATCACTATCACAGATTTGAATAAAACTTTCCATAGTTGGAAATTTATTCCTGTACTATTGACTGACTCTTCGCCTGTACAAAGCAGTGAGCAAGAAAATATAAAACGACCTTCAGCCTTTCTGGTGGTAATGACCTTCCCACGACACTATGTCTCTCGTTGAGGATCTCCTCCATTCCTCTCCAGAAGAGGAGAAGAGGCAACAGGAGAAGCAGCGCCTGGTGTAGCTCCCCAATCCTACTTCATGGATGTGAAATGCCAGGATGTGATAAAATCACCACCGGCTGCAGCCATGCACAGATGGTAGCATTGTGGGTTGGTGGCTCCACTGTTGTGTGTCGGCCAACAGGAGGAAAAGCAAGGCTTACGGAAGGATGCTCCTTCGGAGGGAAGCAGCACTAAAAGCTCGATGAGGGGGAAACCATCCCAATAAACACATTTTGGATACAAAAAAATAAAATAAATAAAACTACCTTCAGAAAAGATGGTCAGAAAAGTCTGAGATTACCTTTTTAACCACTTTAGTGAGATAATAATTCACATACTTTCCCATTCACCCATTTAAAGTATAAATAATGGCCTTCAGTAGATTCATAAGGTTGCACATGCACCAGTACAATAAATTTTAGACCTGCACCCCCAAGAGAAACCCCATGCCCATCACCAGAAACTCCCATTCCCAAAAAGCTTTCCCACATCCACGCCACTGCCCTGGGCAACCGTTAATATACTCTTTGTCTCAATACATTTGTCTATTCTGGACAAATTTCATGTAAATGGCATTATACAGTATAGTCTTTTGTGACTAGTTTCTTGGCATGTTTTTAAGGTTCATCCATGTTGACACGTGTAAGTACTTCATTTCCTTTTAGGAACAAATAATATTCTATTATATGGATATACCACATTTTATATGTCCATTTATCAGTTTATGGACAACATGGGTGGTTTCCACTTTGGGGCTCTTATACTTTTATGAATATTCATGTATAAGTTACTGTGTGGACATTTTCATCTCTCTCTAGAAGTACAACAGCCGGGTCCTATGAAAACTCTATGCTTAACTGAGGAACTGTCAGACTTTTCCACAGCAGCTATACCCTCTACATTCCTGGCAGCCCTGTATGAGGGTTCCAGTTTCTCCACATCCTCACCAGCACTTGTCATTAGCGAGGATGCTCTTTTTAAAAAAAATTAATCCCCACCACAGTGGTTATAAAGTGGTATCATATGTGGACCTTACATTCTAGTGGAGAAAACAAAAAAACAAGTAGAGAAAAGGGAATAAAATAATTGCAAATTGTGACAGGTGCTCCAGGAAACAACGGACTGAGACAGAATGGCAAAGGAGCAATCCTTTTGAAGCTATCCTCAGAGACGCAGGAGATAACCTACGCAGAAACTTGCAATTTTGAAGAAGAAAACCAAACCAAGATCTGGGAGAAAAGCTCCCCAAGAACAGAACAAAAGAGGCCTTCAGATGGGAACAGGCTTGATGAGTGTGAGAAAAGCAAGGCAGCTGGTGTGGCTGCAGCCCCGGGAAAGGGGAGGAAATGGTGTTCGGGAAGGCCAGCGGCAGGCAGGTGCCGGGCTGTGGAACCTCAGTGTGATTTCTGACTGTGTGAGAGCAGGAAATGGCATTGCTCTACATGCAACTGGATGCCATAGGCAGGTTTTAGGCCCAGGGCCGAAGTGCTCCTCATTCCGTTTTAAGATCCCTTTTGCTGTTGTGTGTGTGTGTGGGGGGGGGGGGGGGGAGTCCGAGAGCGAAGCCCAGGGCTCTCCTGCACTCACCAGGTCGGGCAGGTAGTACCTGTGCACCACTTGGGACCCCGCGAACATGGCCAGGAGGCTGGCGGTGAACATCTTCAGGTAGGTGGGCCAGGGCACGCCCGCGGGCATGGTCAGGGGTCTGGGGGGAGGGAAGAGGTTGGCGTCAGAAGGTTCCCAGCTCACGACTAAACCGAGTCGGGAAACAAGCCTCCCAGCAGCGGGGTGCAGAGCGAGAACACTGAGTCCTCTCCCACCCTGCCCCCCAACCCGGACCCCCTGCCCCCAGGCGCTGAGAGGGCAGACGTCCCCTCCAGGCCTGAGGCCAGTCTCCAGAGGTTTCTTGGCGTTGGGGGCTGGGCCTTCCGAATCCAAAGGCAGCTCTGGGGGAGCAAGGAAACGGCGGCCCCGCGTGGTTTCCCTTCAAACTCTAGGAGGGGAACTGCAGACCGCACCCCCACCGGCCCCACGGGCGGCCCGCGGAGACTGTCCCGCCCACGGAGCGATGGTACCGGGAGAGACCGCACCGGGGGAGACTGCACCGGGGGAGACTGCACCAGGGGAGACTGCACCAGGAGGGCACGGCCCGCAGCGGGTCGGAGCGCGGGCGGAAGTGGCTGCCGGAGCCGGAGCGGGCGGCCTGTAGACGGAACGGAAAGTGCAGGGGCCGGGGCCCCGCCGGACTGGAAAGCGGGAAGCACAGCCGCGCGCACGTGACCCGGCCGGAAGTGGGCCCTGGGGCCGAAACCAGAAGTGTTTTTTAAACCGATTCCCAGAACTTCCTGGCTCCGGCTCTTGTCTCCCTTCATCCCTCTCCCTACAGTAGGGTCCCCCTGGCGGATGTCGAGGCTTGGGGTCGCGATGGCTGTATTCCGGCACCATTTGCCCTGTGACATGAGCACATGGCTCGCCTTAAATTACCTTTTACAAGCCAGCGGGAGCCCGGCGCGCTGAACAGCCAGTGCCCAGGTGAGGTCACCCTCCACGAGTGACGTTTAAAAGCCCTGTCTCCTTGTGCCCGGCGGCCTTTGCTACGGAAACAGCCACCTCGAGACAGCTAGCTACACCCTAGTGCTGCGGTGCCGCTGGAAAACAGGGAACCCGAAATGGACAGTATTCACGCATTTTTAGGTTGTGCTTTGGTTATGGGTTGATTTGTGTTAAGCAAAAGGTTAACGCAAGGCAATACGGAAAGATTATAGTTTGTGTGTATGAGGTGAATCACGATACACTCACTTTTTAAACAGGGAGGTTTATTTGACATAAACCTCATATTTAAAGCATACAATTTGATGAGGTTTTACCTATGTGTATACCTATGTAACCATCAAAATCATGAACGTATCTATCACAACCAAAAAGTTTCTTTGGGCCTCTTTCTAACCCCTCTTTATCGCCTCCTTCACTGGACAAGCAAGGTACATAAGCAACCTTGCTAAGCTCTTGAAAGGGAGAGGAGGATTGGGAGGGAAGGGAAACAAGGTGAAGTGACTTGGCCCCTCTTTTATTGCCCCATCATACAAGGTCTCTTCAAGTAGAGGCCTATTTGGCAAAGACAGGAGATTTTTCCAGGGCTTCCCTGAGCCAGGCTCAGAGCTGAACAAGTTTGTCTTCCAGACTGATTCAGGGTGATGAGAGAGGCACTGGCGGAATAGGAGCCCCTTTGTTGATTCACCATTCCCAAGTTCAATGTCCTGCTCCCCAACAACTCTTCCAGTAAACTCTTCCTGTTGTAAGACAGAACTAAGTAGAGAAGCAGAGGCCCCTGGTCTGCTGGGGTTACTAATGGAGCTGGCAGACCCAGAAGATGCAGCACCCTGCAGTGAAGGAGATCCTGGCTATCCAAGGGTAACTTCCTGAGTGAAAACCTAAGAAAAGTTTGTAACTCTTTACACATATTGTCAGTCACTAGAAATCAGTGAGGCAAGCCAACTGCTTTAAAATTTTCTTAGACTGTGATCCTAGGTAGAAGATACCCTGTTTATTCATTAATTCAAGAAATATTCAACGGATACCTACCGTTTTGTACTGGTTTCAGCTTATCAACAACCAATGTTGTGATGGAACCAGCCCTTATGGAGAATATATATATTAGAGGCCCAGTGCATGAATTCATGCATGGGTGGGGTCCACCCAGCCTGGCCAGGGGGAGAGGACATGGGTGGTTGGCTGGCCTGCCTGCTGGTCGAACTCCTGATCAAGGGGACAATTTGCATATTAACCTTTTATTATATATGATAATATACACTGAGTGGCCAGATTATGTGTTCAGAGATCATAATAATCTGGCCACTCAGTGTGTGTGTGTGTGTTAGAGAGGAAGGGAGAGGAAGACAGATCAATGATGAAAAAGAATCATTGGCTGCCTCCTGCACGCCCCCTCCTCATGCCTGCATCCTGGGCACATGCCCTTGACCAGAACTGAACCCGTGATCCCCCAGTCCTCAGGCCAACACTTTAACCACTGAGCAAAAACAGCTGGGTAGATCTTATGGTTCTTATTATGGTTGCAAGACACCTCAGCAATAACCATCAGGAAACTGTGAGGTCTGATCAAATAATTGAATTGATACCCCTCCCCTGGGAACTGACCTTTTGACTTCACAACCAAGGACATTCCCTTTCACTTAGACCACATTCCACTTGCTAAGACCACATTCCACCTGTTAAGACTATTATCTTTCCGGTTTGGACTTTCCCAGAATCCAGACCCACCCAAAGAATTTCCTGCTGAAAAAGCCCACCTAGAGTCCTTTAAAACCTCTGACTCTCATACCCCAGGCACTGGTGCCATTTGGGGGTTCAGCCTATCTGGACTCCAGATGACCTAATAAATTTACAATCCCTTACCACTTTTGGCCTCCTTTGGCAACCCCAACAGAAATGTTGAAAAGACACTGGTTTGTTATTTACAAGACCTCACGTGGGCCCCACAGCGAGGTCAGAGTAGAGAGAGTGAGCCTGCATGTGCATGGGCCTGGGTTCTACTTTATTGGGTCAAGGGTGGGAAGCCCAGGGTTTCAGAGTTCATTACCAGTGGATTTAAAATGAAAGAGTGGAAATTAAAGCAGTGGAAAAGGAAAAAAAAAAAAAACAACAACAAGTAATCCAAATGGTCATTTATTGAAATCAACTAAGATTCATTCTTTAAAAAGCCTCAGGAGAGGCAAACTGGCTCTTTCATCTCCGTGTGTGTGTGTGTGTGTGTGTGTGTGTGTATGTGTGTGTGTGTGTGTGTGTGTGTGTGGCAATGTATTTATTCTAGATAGCCAGTCTATGAAGTGGATGCCTCTTGGAAATAAATGCCTTGGCAATCAAAGCTTAAATTAGGCACTTGCATTATCAAAAGAAGAAATCAATTGTCAGGGTTTAAGTATGCATCAGATTGAGTAGAGTAGACCTATTAAGAGACACAGTACTGGTAAAAGTTCTGAAAAGTTTTAAAATATTAAAAGTTTTAAACAATTTATATAATACACATTAATGGGTATTTATTTACCATGAAAGCTTTTCTTGGATCCCAGAATGAAGAAGCCACATGACTCACAGGGCCACATCCATCTCCCAGCCCAAGTGTTACATTAGTGAGAAACAAACCTTTGTTTCTGCAAACCACTGAGATTTTGGAGTCATCTGTTTACCCCAGCTTAACTAGGGGAAGCTAATACAGCAACCATATTTTTCATTATGCAAACTAGAGAAAGATAAAAAGCGATCTCCGTTAAAGATTATATAATGAAGTCCTTGTATTACAAACAGTAGTGACAACTTGAGAAATAACGAGACAAAAACTAGCTTTAAGAGCCATTGAGAAAACAAAAAACTACAACACAGGGATAGTCTGGAAGGTTATAAAGAAAACGTGATGCCTGAATGGCATCTACTATCCTAGACTTCAGATTCATATTTTTATATATCCAGCTAAGCCAGACAACGATTTATGTAAAATTCTACATTTTACAAAGCAGTTTTACAATCAATGTACAGATTGGAACCTGGGGCCCAAGATAGTACAGTGACCTGGACTCCCAGGTTCTCTGATTCCATAGACTCTTCTTTCTCCCACATCACGCTAGATAATGAATGTAAAAACAGCTTTTAATCAGCATAAAAATTTGGGTGAAAAGACCTGGATAATCCTGATCGATAAGCAAAACAGCCCCACCTACCTATCCAGCGCCCCCAGAAGGCACCCTCACCCATTCCGCCCCCATCACCGCCCACCACGGAAGAGTAAGGATGGAGGGGGGGGGGCAGGAGCGCACGTCAGCAGAGCGCTCCCCCGCCTCCATTTCTGATCCCCACCCTTCCCGAAAGGCCAAGCGGCCAGCAGAGGACACACCTGATTGGACTGTTCCGCGACACGTGACCCTCACACGTCCTGGGATTTGGCGAGGCGCAGGCGGAAGCGCCCCGCCAAAGAGGGGTTTGCGCGGAGGGGGGGGGGGGGGAGTCAGGAGGAGGGGGCGGGGCTTGAGCGTTCGCCGCGGTCCCCGGTCTGCCGGCCATCGGGTCCAAGCCTCCGGTCCCTGTACCGCTGCACCTACGCCGCCGTACCGTAGCGACCAGGACGTGGCCGGAGCAGCCGTCCGCAGGAGCGGCCGCCGGGAATGGACGCGGAGAACGCGGGCGGGTAAGACCGGGGCGGAGCGCTGCCCCTCCCCCCGCGCCCCTCGCGGCGGGGCGGCCGCGGGCGCGCATGCTCGCTGGGGGGCTTCAGGTGCCGCCGCCGCCGCTGCGGGTACAAAGGCCGGGGCCGCGCGTGCGCACTGCCCGCCGGCCGCCGGCCCCTCCACGCCCGGGCCGCCCCCGCGCGGGGGCTGTGGCACCTGAGCCCCTCCCCAGCCTTTGCCGGCACCTAGCTGGCTTTCAGTGTTAGTACCAGCCAGCAGCCTCCTTTGTATGTCTGGTTGCCCTTCTTGGCCACGTTATCCTGCAAGGAGCTGTAAACGTGGAGTATCACCATATTCCTTCAAAGGTTTCATTTTTAAAGAAATATATATATATATATATATATATATATATATATATATACACACACACACACACACACACACACACATATATATATGTGTGTGTGTGTATGTGTGTGTGTGTGTGTGTATTTTTGTTTTTTTACAGAGAGGAAGAGAGTTAGAAACATCGATGAGAGAGGAACATCAATCAGCTGCCTCCTGCATGCCCCCTACTGGGGATGTGCCCGTGACCGGAATTGAACCTGGGACCCTTGAGTCTGCAGCCAAACCGGTTAGGGCAAAGGTTTCATTTTGTAGTTAAATTTATATGGCTCCCCGCCCCAAGATTTACTAAAAAGCAACATCAGGGGCTACAAGATAGCTAGCGTCGCCATCCTGGAGCTCTTGAGTTCTGAGACCTTGACCACCCCTCCCAAGAAGTCATCGAAATGTCTTCCGATGGTCTTGAGGATGAACTTAAGAGTCCATTTTTAATATGTCCTTTGGGGAGTGTTAGTCGTGTTGGAAAATCATTACAAAACCAGAGATTTCAAGATTTGAACGGGCAGAAAACCAATTTTTTTTTTTTTTAATAATGGTTAGTAACATGGTCTTTTTTTTTTTTTAATAAAGTGATGCTGTGTATTGGAATAAAATACTGTTAGGCCTGTGAAGACTTATCCTGGCTTGCAGTGGCTAATGGGCCCTGAACTTAAGGCTGGACACTGACTTCTCTGGGCCTGTTCATGTCTGTACAATAGGGCCTCGGTGGAATCCAGTTCTGACATGCTGTGAGTCCGTGTTATGTGGGAAGGGCTAAGAAACCAAAATCGCCTGAGAGTTTTAGGGAAGGAGATGACATGTAGATAAAGTGGGAACTTTATCCTAATTTTGTGGATCGAATCCTGAAGTTAAAGTACTCCACTTCTTTCGCAGAAGAACTTTACAAAGAACTTGTGGAAATCACTCTGACCTTTGCGATCTTTCTTCAGATCATGATGGAAACTTGGGTAAACCCTACCATCAAATGAATTCTGTGTTATAAGATCTTATTTAGTGTCTTATAAAGCAAAGTGACAGGCTGGTAAAGTATTTAGCTCGAAACTGACCTATATGCTGTCTTCACTTACAAGCCATAGAGTTATAGACCACTTTTTAAATTTTGATATGCAAAACTTCAACCTCAGGAAATATGAAGAATTCTGTCTTAATCCCGAAAGGAGTTTATCCTTGGGAATTCTGAAATGACAGGCTCCCATAATCCAAAGAAAGTGGTTCTCTGTCACCCTTACTTTGTGCTAATCAAGGAGTGGAATGGGATGCTGGGTAATAATGAGTTGCTTTTTACTTTGGACGATTAACTTCAAAACATTCAAAGAGCCCTGGCCGGGTGATTCATTTGGTTGGAGCATCATCCTGTAAAGTGGAGGGTTACGGGTTCCATTCCTGGTCAAGGCACATGGCTAGGTTGTGGGTCCCATCCCCCTGGAGCGCTGGCAGGAGACAGTGGATGGATGTTTCTCTCTCGCAGGAGAGAGGTCTGAATACTGAAAATACAAACATGGGTCCCTGTTTCTTCCAGAGGTGGAATCTGTCTTCTTAACGTGTGGACTTTGATCCTAAACAAAACGTTTGCTTCTCAGTAGTAATTGAGCACATTTGCAAGGAACTAGTGACCACTAGGCTACAGTATAAATTCAGAAAAAAAGTAAGAGCCACCAGGCCAGGTCATTCCCTTTTAGCGAATGATACTAGAGTAGACAACATCAGGAGGGATGACAGGAGGTACCTAAAATATTTAAGCATCTCCTGTTTTTGTTATTGTTACGGCAGATTTATTACATACCAGGCACTGTTTTAAGTGTTTTTGCACAGGTTACCTACTTTAATCCTCATAACCAGTAAATTGGGTGCAACTATTCCCATTTTACAGATGTGGAATCTGGGACATAAAGAGGTTAAGAAACTTGCCTCCAGAGCTAGTAAGTGGCACTGCTGAGATTTGAACCCAGGCAGTGTGGCTTCAAAACCTGCCTCCCTAACAATTGTGCCATACCACTGTGTGTGTGTGTGTGTGTGTGTGTGTGTGTGTGTGTGTGTGTGTGTGTGTGTGTGTGAAGATGGACTGATAGCAGTCTGATTAGGTGAAATCAAAGCTGGTTTACTACTGAAAGAGTCAAATACAGGCTGAAGGGAGGTCTGTACCGATGTGCCATTTTGTTCTACCCCAGCTTTGTACTTTTCACAAGTTTAAGAACCTCAAGGTGTTGATGAAACGATAAAATGTGTCTCGCTTTGTGGATTGGACGGGTTGAATCGGAATCCTGATCAAGCCCAACTGGCTGGAACAGTGAATCAGCTTTTACAAAAAGAGACACAGTGTTTTGCTTAGGTGTGGAAAAATCAGTGATACAAATGTGAGATGAGGGAGAGAGGATAAAAGGGCAGTGTTCACTGATGGTGAACTCAGTATGAATGGATTGGATACTGTGGGTGCCAATACAGCTAATGTACTGGGCTCTGTACTCTGTCTGCAGAATGAGGAAGTAGATAGGCCTGCCAGGTTTCAGGAGGATGAGGCTATATCTGAAGTATTTGTGTGTGTGTGTGTTTGCTTCTGAGCACCAAAAATGACCAAATAGTGAGGAAATTGGAAGTCATACTATATGAGCTGTGGACTCGGGCTTATCATGTATCTTTTTGTTTACAGTGTCTAGTGATTGTGCACAACGAGTACCCAGTAATACATGGTGAATACACACACTTCACTTAAGCATTATTGAATGCAGCCTTTAAATGGTTATGAATGATGGAATCAACATCATTAAAATGTCCATACTACTCAAAACAATCTATACATTCAGTGCAATCCATATTAAAATACCAGTTGCATATTTCACAGATCTAGAACAAACACTCTATAAATTTATATGGAACCAAAAAGATTCCAAATAACTGCAGCAATCTTGAGAAAGAAGAATAAAGTTAGAGGAATCCCAACACCAGATACCAAGTTATATTACAAAGCCATTGCACTCAGACAGTCTGGTACTGGGATAAGAACAGGCACATACTGGTAGAATAGAACAGATACCCCAGAAATCAACCCAAGCCATTACACTCAATTAATATTTGACAGAGGAGACAAGGATATACAATGGAATACAGACAGCCTCTTCAATAAATGGTGTTGGGAAAATTGGACAGGAACATTTTTAAAAAAATGAAACGAGGCCCTAACTGGTTTGGCTCAGTGGATAGAGCGTCGGCCTGTGGACTGAAAGGTCCCAGTTTTGATTCCAGTCAAGGGCAAGTACCTTGGTTGTAGGCACATCTCCAGTAAGGAGGTGTGCAGGAGGCAGCTGATCAGTGTTTCTCTCTCATCGATGTTTCTAACTCTCTATCCCTCTCCCTTCCTCTCTGTAAAATATCAATAAAAAATATATTTTTTTAAAAAATGAAACTAGGTTACCAACTTACACCATACACAAGATTAAACTCAAATAGATAAAAAATAAACAACTTAGATGTAAGTCGTGAAACCATAAAAATCTTAGAAGAAATCATAGGCAGCAAAATCTCAGACATTGCTTATAGCAATTTGTTATATAGCTCCTAGGGCCATTAGTCGGCAAACTGCGGCTCGCGAGACACATGTGGCTCTTTGGCCTTTTGAGTGTGGCTCTTCCACAAAATACCATGGCCTACGCAAGCCTATTTTGAAGAAGTGACATTAGAAGAAGTTTAAGTTTAAAAAACTTGGCTCTCAAAAGAAATTTCAATTGTACTGTTCATATTTGGCTCTGTTTACTGAGTTTGCCGACTACTGTCCTAGGACAAAGAAAACTAAGGAGAAAATAAACGAATGGGGCTGCATCAAAATAAAAAGCTTCTGCCCAGCAAAAGAAACCATCAACAAAAGAAACCATCAACAAATGAAAAAAGAGCCCACCGCATGAGAGAACTTATTTGCCAATGATACATCAGATAAGGGGTTAATTTCCAAAATAGATAAAGTACTCATACTACTTAACTAAAGGAAGACAAACAGTCTAACCAAAAAATGGGCAGATGACCTATATAGATAATTTTCCAAAGAGGGCATACAATTGGCCAAGATACATATGAAAAAATGCTCAACATCACTAATCATCAGAGAAAGGCAAATTAAAACATCTGTCAGAATGTCTATCATCAACAAACAACCAGTGTTGGCGAGGATATGAAGAAAAAGGAACCCTAGTACACTGCTGGTGAGAATGCAGACTGACTGGAAAACAGTATGGAGTTTCCTCAAAAAATTAAAAATGGAACTTCCATTTGAACCAGCAATCCCACTTCTAGGAATATATCCCAACAAACCCAAAACACGAATTAAATGTATGCATCCCTGTGTTCATAGCAGTGCAATTTACAATAGCTAAGATTTGGAAACAGCCTAAGTGCCCATTAGTAGATGAGTGAATAAGAATGCCGTGGTATGCTGAAACCGGTTTGTTTCAGTGGTAGAGCATTGGCCTGCAGACTAAAAGGTCCCGGGTTCGATTCTGGTCAAGGGCTTGTACCTTGGTTGCAGGCATATCCCCAGTAGGGGGTGTGCAAGAGGCAGCTGATCGATGACTCTCTCTCATCGATGTTTCTAACTCTTATCTCTCTCCCTTCCTCTCTGTAAAAAATC